GGTATGTGCTTATGTGTGTGTGCAGGTTGCCAAAGCGACCGATTTAATGCCTTTGGAATGCATATCTGGAGGTAACAGTACGTTTGGAGGTCGGAAGATAACTCTGAGGAGTCAGTTCTCTCCTTCTACCTTGTGGAACGGGGATTGAACTCAGGTCATCAGGCCTGGTAGCAAGTGCCTTTTTACCTTCTGATCCATCTTGTCAGCCCACATATGTCTTGATTATGGTCCTATAAATATGGTTTAACTGCAGGCTTTGGAATACTTTATTTTGAGGAGATGACTATGCGGTGTCAGAAATTTTATTAGCCATCATCACAATGGTGCCCATTAAGAACCAAGTATAGTTCTGAACACATGAGGTGTAATAACTTCCTTAACCTTCACAGTAGCCCTCTCTACTCTGCATCTTCCAAATTATGAAACAGAACCAGAGAGCTAAGTAATGTGGAAGATTTGCATAGTAAATGACAGGCCAAGATTAATACCCTTGCAGCCTGACTCCAAAGCTCTTGCTTTGGGCAATATTAGATGCTGTGTAATAAATAAAAAGAAGAAAGTAAATACAGAGAGACTGCATTTTGCAGCATTTCACTTACTGCATTTTACAGCATTGTGTTCTTTACAGTTTCAAGCTCTGTGGCAGGTTCCTATCATGCAGGGATATAGGCACCATTTCTGCAATAGTGTGGTGTTCTCTCTCTCTCTCTCTCTCTCTCTCTGTCTCTGGCAATTCCCTCAGTATGTCTAACTCTTTCATCATCACTCCATATTTTGAAGTGGTTTTGTTCAGTGATCTTTGATCTCACTGTGGTTTTGTTTGGGGGCCATGACTGATGCCTATGTAAGACACTGGACTTCATACTTTAAGTGTTGTACATATTCTGAATGTTCAGTGAGCCATATCCCATCTCTCTCCCTCTCCTTGGGCCCCTCTGTTCTCCAAAACAGAACATTGAGATCAGGCAATTACTAACCCTATAGTGGCCTCTAAATGCAAGGGAAAAAAATTGAGTTATATCATTTGAAATCAGAACCTAGAAATGCTTAATTTTAGGGAGGAAGGCATGTCAACACCCGAGAGAAGCCAAAAAAACAAGGCGTCTTCTACCAACCAGCCAATTGTGAGTGTAAAGGAAACACCTTGAAGAAAATGTTTTTGGGATGCTACTCAAATGATGGGGAGAAAAACTGTTGAGCTGGACATGGCAGCTCACACTTGTAATCCCAGTCCTTAGGAGGTTGATGTAGAAGGATTGTGAGTTCAGGGATAGCCTATGCTATCAAAACACACGTGGGGGAAAGGAGGGGGAGAGGAAGCCGAGAATTAACTCAGTGGCTAAGAGCACTTGTTACTCTTGCAGAAGACCCAAGTTCAGTGCCAAGCACCCACACGGTGGCTCACCATGTTAGAGTAAGTGGGTGTTTTCCTTGAGTTTATAGGTTCCCACCTGCTCTTCTGAGCAGTTCTGTGCTTCTTTATGTATGGCCATTTAAAAAAGTGATCCAGTATCTTATTAGATCATTTCAACTGTCCTAACCAACAGATAATATGGGTATTATTTTGCCCACTTTGTAACTGATGAAATTGTGTCACTTGGAGGAGGGTTGCATAGGTGGCCCTCTGTCAAGCTGCAGTGGACCTGGATTCATCCACTTGATTGTGAATTCACAAGTGAATTCACAGTTCACTTGATGTGCTCACACAGCGCTTTTCCACTACTTCAGCTTTGATTGCTGTCGTTGACATGTAACCCCTAGAGATTGCTCAGATCTGTTCTCCTGTCATGTAAGAAGTATCTAGTATACTCGTAATAGCGTCCTTCCCTTTACAGAATGAAAGATGGACTCAACCTTAAGTGAACTAGCCCTCTGGTCTCTATAAGTGTCCACACTCTGTGTGTAAGGGAAGCCTGTACTCCAGCGGACCCTGTCTTTGTCAAGCCTTTCTTGGTCACTGAAGATCTGTTATGCTGAAGAACCTTGGATTGGCTTTGGTGATAGGGCATATGGAGATAACTATGGAAAACAGTCCAAATACCCTATTTTTTCCTGATTTAGAAGTAGGGCCTCTTCAGGAATTTATTTACTTTCGCAAGGGATTCATATAGCATTTGAACTCTAAGCAGATGTGGATTTCTTTATCTTTTTAATCGCAGCTGCCAGTGATGCATCCAGCTGCTGAGGAAAGCACCTCCCAAATTCTCTCTGATCCTCTCAGGCCATAAACAAGACCTAAATTTCATGCTGGACACTCACTTCTAGGCATTTCAGTTATGCAGCTTCCTATTTCTTGAAGACCAACTGCAAAGTTTGTGTCTAGATGAGCCTAAAATCTTTGCTTAAACACTTTTAATTCTGTCTCAGCTCCTTCCAGGAAACTTTGGAACACCTTCCAGAGTGTGTCAGTTCCTGGTTTTAATCCGGAATGAGGGAAAGCTCTTGGAGGCAGAGCTCGGAAGGAAAAGATTTATTAACCCCTACCCCAGTTGGATGCTGGCCCCGATGCAGCCAAGCTGCACTATGCTGTTCTTCTGCAGATAATTTCCTTAAAGCGTCATGTTCATATTTTAACATTAGCAGGAAGAGGCTAACCTTCTGGGAGGTAGTGAAGGAGGCTGGAGTTCAACTCAGCATTTCTAAAACGAAGCCACCTGTAGAAACTTAGGGAGTTGACCCCTCCAGCAAGAAACATTTTCTTCCAGTTTTTAGCGAGTACAGAGATTCAATGTCATTTCTGCACGACTGAGTTCTGAATGATGCTAATTTTCCTGTGTCTGAGTTTCAGATAATCTCATGAACACTACAGTAAGCCTCTTGCTATCTGGGCAACTTTAGACTTTTGGAAGCAGAAAGATCTATTCAAATGTAAAAGACCTTTAAAATTCATCTCCTTGCTTTGGTATTTCTTTCAGTGTGGAGAGATTAATCTGAATTTTCTGAGCCTGGAAAAGACTGAAATTCGTTTGAAGTTAATCTTTGCTTCTGTTTGGGAGTATCAGCCCCAAAGAGCTTTTTGTTCAGTTTCTTTCAATAAGAGTGTTGCTAAGAGCTTTGTTCTTTACCAGCAAAAATACATATTTGACATATTTTCAGTTGATAAAATAACGGTAGGTACATCTACTGTGAAGAAGTATCTATCAAGAGAATTGTCATCATGACACAATTAATACCTGAAACAACTATTGTCATACCCTGTTTACCAGGCAGTGGTGACTATGAGACCCAAGAAACAGTTGACCAGGCTGACTTGAACTCATAGAAATCCTTAAAGGCCTGCACCATCACCGACTGGCATTTCCTTTCCTCTTCTTTATTTCTCTTTTAATTAATTAATTAATTAATTAATTAGAGACAGAGTGATTGATAGTAGTATAGCTAGAGTTTTCCTGCCTGGCCCACAGTCAGGACAAATCTTTGTCACCCACCAGTCCCACA